GGTACTATTGCTGGGCAAAGGGGACAGTGTAAAGACAAACTTTTTATCATGCTGTGGGAAGAGGTGGTTACCAGTTCTTTTCTCTTTTTCCCTAGTATGAGGAAGTCGCTGAGAAGGATGATCTGATGGGCATGGAAGATACAGCAAAGAAAGATATCCTAGAGCTGAGGAACCCTCATGCTAGGCCTGGAGAGTGAGGGGGCTTCTGGCTCCAGCCTCCAAGATATTGCTTCTTACCTTTTTCTGTGGGATCTTTGAGAATGTGATGAAGGCTATGGCTTTCCTTCCCAGAAAAAAGCATTTTGACAGTTTTGCATAGGATGTCAGGGGTGTAGAGGCTCTCTGAAGCCCATTCACAGATGTCAGGTGAAATAGGGCCCCAGGTCTGGGAAGGAGGGACATCTAGGCTGTGTCCGGCTGCTGGAATCCCCAAGGGTACCATATCTTTTATCTTTGATTACAGCTGTAATCTTACTGTTTTCCCTGACTCTGACTCTTCACGATTCTTTTCGAAGCCATCCCTGCGCAGTAGAAACACCATCTTCACCTTGGGGACCCGTGGCTCTGTCATTTCCCCCACTGAACTGGAGGCTCCCATCCTGGTGCCCCACACTGCCCAGCGGGGAGAACAGAGGGTAGGAGGAAGAACAAACTTCAGTCGTGAGGGGGATGCTCAGCATGGGTGGGCTCGGTTGGTTGGAGGGAAGGTCAGAGCTTCCTACCCTGCAGGCCCCTCTATTAATCCCCCAGGACCTGGGAGTGGCCTTTTCCAGTCTCACTAGTGTTCTGTGATATGAAGAGGATTGGGACCGTTGACTTAAGGGCATTCAAGAGGGAGAGACTGGCTGAGGGGAGTGACATGTCATTGAGGCAGATGTGGAGGTACATATAGGAGTAGCAACAGCAAGTGGAGGTGGGCTATTCTCTTGCACCCCTTTTCTGCCCTAACCCTCCCCCTCCACCACCCCCCGCACCCAGTACCCATTTGGGATTCTCTTTCACAGCTTAGACTTGAGTTAGATGGGAAGCATTTCTTGAGCCCTCAATACCCAGTTTTGCTGATTGCCCAGCCATATCCATGGGGAGTCAGTGTTGGGATCCATCTCTCTGTCTCTCTTCTTTACCCTCCCATCCTAGTATCCATTTGAGGCACTCTTCCGCAGCCAGCACTATGCCCTTCTAGACAATTCCTGCCGGGAGTATCTTTTCATCTGTGAATTCTTTGTCGTGTCTGGTCCTGCTGCGCATGACCTCTTCCATGCCGTCATGGGCCGTACGCTCAGCATGACCCTGGTAAGATCCCCTTGCTCCTATACTCTTAGACCCTGTGTCTTCAGTCTTCACTGGCTCCATAGGAGGGTCAAAGCTTTGGTGGTATTAAAACTAGGACCCCTAATTCTAAAATGGCCAAACTTCATACAATGTGACTCCCCATGAAACCTTCAAAGCTTGAGGTCCCCAAGACTACTCCTGCTGCTGATCCACACCCAGACAATAGCACCTGAAAACTGAGGGGCCCCTAGATATTGGTCTTCCACCTTGAATTCTGCTCTGATAGGCTTGTGATCATAGATCCTGGTGAGTAAGGCAGCAGGACCACAGAGGAACACATGCATTTGTCTTTAGCCACTGGGAAGGACAAACTAACCTTTGTCAATCCTTTGCCTGTTCCTAAATCACAGAAGCACCTGGAGTCCTATCTCACTGACTGCTATGATGCCATTGCTGTTTTTCTGTGTATTCATATCGTCCTTCGATTCCGCAACATTGCAGCAAAGAGGGATGTTCCCGCCCTGGACAGGTCGCTGAGTTCTGGTTCTTGATGCCCTGCTGGCCTTGAACTCTTGGTCTTACATGACTGTTCCCTGACCTGTGGGCTCCTACTGACTTGATACCATTGACCCTATTTCCATTCATCTGCCTGGAGGCAGTACTGCTGCTTCTGACTCACTTTTCACACCCATTCCTACCACCACCAGCCATCAGCTATTAATCTGAAGGAAGCCCCAGAAGTGGTCAGATATCCCACATACACTCTAACACAAACACCACCCTGTTCCCACCGTCGACCCCCCACCACCCACCCCTGACCCTGACATTCCTTACCAGCTGATTACTGATTCTGGTTAAGCCCACAGGTACTGGGAACAGGTGCTTGCCTTGCTGTGGCCACAGTTTGAATTGATTCTGGAGATGAATGTCCAGAGTGTTCGAAGCACTGACCCTCAGCGTCTTGGGGGGCTGGATACTCGGCCCCACTATGTAAGAGAGGGCAAGGGAAACAGGGTTTCCTCAAGGGTAGGGCTCTAAGCTTCACTGGGATAGGGGTTGGCTAGGTTCACGATTGTGTTGGGCTTGGTGGGTTGTTTAGCTATACTGTGAGGAGCAGTCCAGGAGGGTGGTTCCACTCGGGGGTGTCAGGCACTGTTTGTAGGATCGGAGGAAGGAGTCACACAGATGTTGGTTGGCCAGTTCCAGAGGAGTTGAGAGGTTGTGTTGGCTGGGCCAGGTGTTTGATGTGATTTTTACCCCCACCTTTCTCCCAGATCACACGCCGGTATGCAGAGTTCTCCTCCGCTCTTGTCAGCATCAATCAGACAATTCCTAATGAACGGACAATGCAGCTGTTGGGGCAGCTACAGGTGAGGGGAAATGCAGACTACCCAACAGCAGGGCTGCTGCAGTGGGCTGGAGCGTGAAGAGGGATCATATGCCCTTACCTTCTTGTGTCACTTCCATTTGGCTTTTTCAGGTGGAAGTGGAGAATTTTGTCCTCCGAGTGGCAGCTGAGTTCTCCTCAAGGAAGGAGCAGCTTGTATTTCTGATCAACAACTATGACATGATGCTGGGTGTGCTGATGGTAACAGACTCCCTTCTTTCCTTTTTCCCTACCCAGAAAATTAGGGTTGTCCCACTGCTCTAGTAGCTCCGTCATGGCAGAGTTTATCTTGGTCTCGTTCAGTGGTTTATTCTGGAGTCTGGCACAGTGTCTGGCTATGTACAGTAAATATGGGAGCAAGGAGATATCCTCAAGTGAGGGGCTGCTTCTTCCTAGACTTAAGATTTCTCCTTGTTTTCTCTTAGGAGCGGGCTGCAGATGACAGCAAAGAGGTTGAGAGTTTCCAGCAGCTGCTCAATGCTCGGACACAGGTAGTGGTCTGGGATAAAGGAAGGAACAAATTTGTGTGCTGTTTCAGTTCAGTGCTCGTGTGCATGTGTATGTAGGGACTCCAGGTACACAGAATTGGAATTATGACTTGGTTTACAACATGCTGTCAATATTGGTCTATTTTATTTTTTTTGTATTTTTTAAATTATATAAATGCCCATGAACCTACAACACATGTTGGCAATAACCAATATCAAAGTATGGATTCTTCCTTACCCCATCTCTGTGCCTCTCATGTAGAGACACCTGTTGACCTAAATGTTGTGTTTATCATGCTTGTTTTTTAAAAAATGGTTTGGTATACCAAAACAATAATTATTTAGTCTTGTTTTTGAGTGTCATAAAAATGGAATCACAGCATTTTCGGTGCATAATTTTTCTAACATTGTCACGTTAATACATATGGCTTTAGCTCATTTTTCACTGTTGTATAATGTTACTTATTGAATGTAACATTCTGTAAGAGGACATTTGGATTATTACTAGTTTTTTGTGAGTATCAATTAAAGAACAATTAGGTTTTTTTTTTTGGTGAGCATTGTTTTATGAACAATTAGGTCTTTTAGTGCACATAGAAATAGGTAAAGTTTATCAAAAGTTTTGCATGGAAATAGGAGTAGGCTTGCTGCTTATAAGATAACACCAGTATTCAACTTTATGAAATAATGCCAAATTGCTTTCCTAAGTGGATGTACCAATTTATTCTTTACTTGCAATATGTAAGAATTCTCACTGAGCCATATTTTCTCCAATACATGATATTATCAGTCTGTGCTTTTTTTGGTAGATATCTAAGTAGGGTCTTGATTTGCATTTTTCTGATTACTAATGAGATTGTGCATTGTTTCAGATGTTAAGTAGCCGTACAAATTTTTCTTTTTTTTAATGCCTGCAGCACCCAATATTCTTAGGTGGTCTCCCGTCCAAGTACTAACCAGGCCCAACCCTGCTTAGCTTCCGAGATCAGATGAGATCGGGCGCGTTCAGGGTGGCATGGCTGTAGACCAAATTTTTCTTTTACAGTCAATGTCTGTCATAGCATTTGACCTCTTAAAAATGAGTTCTTTATAAAGTCTACATACTAATTTTTTAATTATACAGGTTATAGATATCTTTAAATATGTGTTTTATCTCTACTTTTTTTATGTTGTCGTTTTTTTCTTTCTTTTTTACTTTCATTAGCATTTATTTGATGCTGAATTTACTCCTGGGCCATATGTTTCTGTTTCTTCAGTTTCTTCTGGGATACCTTTTTCTTCTGTGCAACCTCCTCTCTGGTTTAGGAACAGTCTGCTCCTTTGCAGTAAGGATCATCTCACTGTGGCAGGGAGAGCTCAGGCAGGGGATAAACCGCCCACGAGCTCTGTAAGTTCTGCGCTGCATCTTGGGAGCTTTGTTCACCTGGATGTGCTCAGTGACCAGAGAGTCCACATCTAAACCCTTAAGCTCAGCATCACGCTGCATTTTTAAGCATGTGCAGCAAAAAGCACTCTTTTTGGGCCACTGACCCTGCCTCCAGCCCCACTATCTGGCCTGGGTACACCCACCAACTCCACTATTGTAATGATGGAATGGTATATATTGCTTCTATAAAGTGACATCTTTCTGATACTTGGTGGCTTTTTGGATATGCATACCCTTGATGGCCTGGGCAGTTTCATGCAGTGAACGTGAAGATTCGAACCTCTTGATTTGCATGATTTCGTGGGGTTTTCTGGGTCAAGTGAATAGCGGACCATTTTCAGAGATCAGCTCAGGCCACTTATGGGAAGAGCTGTGTTGTCTTTTGATGAACAAATTCCTAGTTGTAATATGATTTAACTTATTAGTCTTTTTTTTATTTTTATGTCTTGTTTAAGAAATCTCTTATTACTCCAAGGTCAGAAAAATAAACTACATATTCTTAATACTGTAGAATTTTGCTTTTTTACTTTTAAGTCATAATTAATTTTTGTATATGACATGAAGTAGGAATCTAATTTTTTCTGTATGGATAATGATTGGCCCAGAACCATTTATAGAAAATCTCTTTCCCCACTTGATCTGCAGTGCTGTCACTGTCACAAGGCAAAATTCCACTTTTTTGTTGCCTTCATTCTATTCCATTGATTAATTTGTCTACTCTATAATACAGTTTTAATTATTATGTTTTATAGGGCAAATTCTCTTACCTTCTTTTTCATCAGTATCTTGATTTTTATTGGCCTTTTGATTTTCCATATAAATTTTACAATCAGCTTGTAAATTTTCACATTTAAAAAACCCATTTAAGTCTACAGCCATGATATATATATATAAAATAAATTTAAAAAAATAAAAAACCCATTTAGAATTTTGGTTGGAATTGCATTGATCAATTTGGATTATTTGGAAGAATTGACACTTTATGATATCGATACTTCCTGCCCATGAACATGGGCTCTCTCTCCTTTTTAAAAGATATTCTTTAATGTCTTTTGATAACCTTTTACAATTTTCAGCACCAGGATATCTTTTGTTAGAGTTTTTTCTAGGTAGGTGTAATATGAAGATTTAATTTTAATAGGAATAAATTCTTTATAATCCTTTGCCTTTAATTTCTTACATTTGATCTCTTACTGTTCTGGCTAGGACCTCTATGACAATGTTGAATAGTTGAATAGAAAAGTAATAGTGAGAACCCTTATCCTGTTCCTGATTTTATTTATTTGTTTGTTTATTTGCACCTGTTCCTGATTTTAAAAGGAATGTTTTCATCACTTCCATTAAGAGTATTATAGCTGTAAGGTTTCTTGTTTTGTTTTGTTTTGTTTTGTTTTAGGCGAGGCAACCCTTGGTTGACCTCACAGATTGCAAGGACCTTGTCAGCTTACAATCCCTTATTTTTTATTTTTTACGCTTACAGCACCTGGTCTTCCTAGGTGGTCTCCTATCCAAGTACTAAACAGGCCTGACCATGCTTAGCTTCCGAGATCAGACAGGATCGGGCTTGTTCAGAGTGGCATGGCCGTAGACAGCTGTAAGTTTTTTAATAAATGCCCTTTATCAGGGTAAGAAAATTCCTTGTAATTACTAATATGCTAGGAGTTATTATTGTAGTTATTCCTACTAGGAATAGATTTACATTTATTTAGGAATTTATTTAGGAATAATTATTAGGAATAATACTAGGAATTACTAGGAATGATGACTACATTTTTTTTTCTCTCTATTTGGACTTTCTACTCTGTTCTTTTAGAATTTGTTCCAAACTGTAGTTACTTAAACATTATTTTTTTTCTTTTTTAACTATTATTTTTTTATTTTTCAATTGCAGTTGACAATATTATATTAGTTTCAGGCGTGTAGCATAGTGGTTAGACATTTATATAATTTATGAAGTGATCCTCTCAATAAACCTAGTACCCACCTGGCACCATACATTGTTATTACTATATCATTGACTGTATCTCCTGTGCTATATTTTATATCCTGTGACGATTTTGTGTAAATATTATCTTTTGAAAAAGAAATTTCCTTATTTGAACTGTGTATAGAAATGCTATTGATTTTTATATATTGACCCATAGAGCTAGCCCCCATCCTAAATTATTATTTCTAATAGTGTTCCTGGATATTTGTGTGTGTGTTTCTATGTGGGTATTCATCATCTATGTATTAAAACAGTTTTAAGTTCTTTCTTTTTAATCCTTACGTCTTTAATTCCTTCTGTCCTTATTCTCTTGCTGCATTGACTAGTACCTCCAGTACAAGGATGAATAAATAATTGAATAGAAGTGGCAATAGTGAGAACCCTTATGTTTTCCTTATTTTAAAAGGAATGCTTTTATCATTTCTCCATTAAGAGTAATGTTGTAGGCTTTCTTGTAGATACTCTTTGTAAATTATGAAAATTCCTTTCAATCCCTGTTATGCCAAGAGTTACTATTTTTTGAAAATAGGAATGTATGCTTTTTTTGGGCAACAGTTGAAGTAATCACATATTTTATTTTTTAAATCTATTATATAGTGTATGACATTTGTAGATTTTAGAATGTTAAACATTCTGGATTTGGTCTAATTCATTTAGAATGTTCCTCTGTGCATACATTAGATTGGCCTGTGATTTTCTTTTTGTGTACTCTCCTTGTGTGGGTTTGGTATCAAAGTCGTTCTGCATTCGTAGAAGGAGGTAGGAAAGAACTATTCTTGTTTTTATTATTCTGACACAGTTTACCATTGAAATAATCTCTTCCTTGAAAGTTTCATAGAATTTAGCAAAAACATCTGGGAAGATTTAAAACTATGAAATTCTCTCTGCTGTTTTTCTTTAATTCAGTATATTCGACTGAATTCTTAATATGTAGTATTTTTATTGTCATTCAATTATTTTTTCTTTGAGCCATGAGATTTTTGAAGAGTTTTTAAATTTCCAAAAAGTAGTATTCTTATTTATCTTTTTGTTATTAATGTCTAAATTGCATTGTGGATGGAGAATGTGTTTTTTTGGTCAGATTCTTTGAAATTTGTTTAGATTTGCTGTGGCCTGGTACATGATCAACTTTTGTAAATGTGTTTGAGAAGAATCTGTATTCTTTAAATGTCAGGTGTGGAGCTCAAGTTTTTTAATTGTGTCGTTCACATTATATCTTTATTGGTTACTTTTTGTTTACTTATTAGTAATTGAGAGAGGTGTTTTAAAATTAATAGCTTTGTCACTTTTCCCCAGCAGTTCTAGCAAATTTTGCTTTATATAGTTTCAGATTAGTTTACCTAAATTCATTCATTCTTTTCCTTCCTTCCTTCCTTCTTTCCTTCCTTCCTTCCTTCCTTCCTTCCTTCCTTCCTTCCTTCCTTCCATTCATCTTTCTTTCTTTTTCTTTCTTTTTTTCTTTCTTTTTCTTTTTCTTTCTTCCTTTCTTTCTTCCTTTCTTTCTTCCTTTCTTTCTTCCTTTCTTTCTTTCTTTCCTTTTCTTTCTTTCTTTTTCTTTTTTTTCTTATTTATTATTATTTTTTACGCCTA